TATTCTGACAAGTCCCTGTACACCCAGCTGTGCTTTTACCGGTACATTTTTGATGCGGACTGTGCACTGGAGAAACTTACTACCGATCATGAGAAAGGTACGTTAAAATACTGTAATTACCTTTGAGTTTAAAGTGGAAATTTGCATCATAAAAGCCATACCTACTGTCAGGCTGTTCATGCAGCATCACACCGCTGTCTCAGAAGCAGGCCGTGGGGGCCCTTGTGAGCACAGGCTTCCCCTGCATGAGGGGCGGTGGTATAGGAATCCCCGGCTTTGGTCCCCACAGCCTGTCTCACATTGTTCTCTATTAAAGCAGGGCTTTGGGGGAGGAACAGTACAAAAAGGACTCTTTAAATGCTGTATTTTGAAAATGCTATTTTCTATAGAGTTTAGTAATTGTAATAAAGTAAGCATAGGCAACGTGATCGTTGGACCTACAAAAACCAGGCATTACTACAGAAAAATAGAGCTGGAGTGTGTCTCTGCTGTTCACTAAAAGCCTAGGTTCGTTTTGAAAGAGAGGCATGGGGTGGAGTTATTTATTGATTCCATCCTAAGAGAGCGTATCTGCACCTTCGCCCAGATGATTGGATGCTGCCCGTAACCCTCATGCAGGACTTGCAGGGACTGTGGAATTTAATGGGGCTGGGAAAAGCTTTGTTCCATAACAAAGTATTTGAAAATGTCGTGACAAGTGCATGTTTTTTTTTTCTCCTACCTGAAAATCACATTGACAACTTTTCTATGACGTGTAAAGAACAAAAAAGGCAAATATCCACATTTTTCTTATTAGTTACCTGCAGAGTGTTTATGTTGTCAGTGAATATCAATTCGACATCTTGTTGGTCAGTATTAAGGCTGGAGGTAACCTTAAGGACAGAAATCTAAAAATACTGCTGGATTTCCTCCCGTAAGAATCTCCACGCTGCCCTTGATTTGGTCTTAACTGTTTTCAGTTCTAGTCATAATTGACCAGTTTTTTCCATCTACAGGATAGGCTAAAAATTATTTTTTAAAGGTCTTGACTTAATTGGTTTTGCTGTCCTTGGATATAAAACAGTTTACCGACAGAGGGAGGAGTTGGTCCAAATATTAGTTTCTTGTTTTTGGATGTTCACCAAGAACTTGGGCTACGGCATATTTTCAGTGAATTAGTATAATTATGTAATGTGAAGAAAAATTTCTTCTTTTCATTAATAACTGAGTTTTTTTTAACTTCTGTTCATGGCTCATGTCTGGCCCATGTTTATTTTCAGTATCATTAATAGCTTTTTCTCTTTTACCCTTAAGGGCCTTTCCTTAAAGGCATTATGAGTTGAGAGAATTATGTACGGATTCTCTGATGAATACATTGTTTCTGTCTGTTTGTTACCTCTTTCTGGGTATCAGTATATTAAAAGTTGCTCCCCCTTTACTTCTTTCTGAATCTAGCCATTTCAGATTGTTCCCTAGATATCTTAGACTCCAAGGGGATGGACTTCTCTTCCAGATATCTCCAAAATTCTTATCTGAGGCAGCTAAATCAGTCTTTCATGATTAGCGGTTTTCAAAAAGTCTGTTGACTCTTGGAGACATGTAGGAGTGATCTGGAAAGTCACTAAAGACTCTGGTTTTTTAGAGGAGTGTACATTGCTCTCCCAGAAAATAAGAGGGAATAAAATAGCTACTTAGAAGCTTCTTGCTTGGCAAGAGGGGAGAAGTATTGACAGTATCTGTACCCTCACACAATTTACTGTGGTTCTATTTCACAAGTTTAAGAGTTGGGATAGTTTTTTTTTTTTTTTTTTGTCATTTGCTTCTAATAAGTACACTGTCCAGGAGTTCAGGGTCATAACGGCACTATGTGTGAGTTATTGACAGGTTCTTCCACATGTCAGAAGGCTAAAGAGAATTAAGAGAAAGATATTAAATGTATGTGTCACAGAAGGAACTTCATGAAATGTTCCAAGAACCTTTCATTTTATTTACAGAATTTTAACTATGAAACTATTTTTCCTTTTAGCTTTCTTCTTATTTACTATTCATGAGTTGCACTTTAGGAATGAGTGGATTAGTTGAAATTTACCTGCTCAGGGTGTTCTCAGATCACTCAGTAATATTAAGAGGTACTAGGGTATTTGTTAGTAGGGGGATATAAACTGAAACTCTGGGTCGTGCTTATCTGTATTCCAAGATCAGAGGTTTACTGACAAGTGACATTTGATAAGTTCCCCCTTAAGAGTCAGTTGGGGTGTGGTGCCTGGGTGGGCTCAGTTGGTTAAGTCTGACTCTTGATTTCTGCTGGGGTCATGATCTCAGGGTAGCAGGGCTCGGCGCTTAGCAGGGAGCCTGCTTAAGATTCTCTCTCTCGCTTGCTCCCTCTGCCCCTCTTCCCCTCTCAAAAAAAATGAATTGAAAAGCTGTGGCAAATATTTTTATTCAGTTTGGACCAAGCCAGAACACCAATAGATGTTACATCAGAAGTCTTGCGAAGAGTGACTGTCATTACACACAGTTACATTATTGAGAATGGAGTCTTAAGTATTGTCTGTCAACAAGTGCCCTGGATTTGGCGTGTGAGGTATTTACTGTCCGTACTTAGCAACACTTCCTTGACTAAGATTGTTTTACCATTTCCCTTTGTAAAGCCCATATTTGGGGGCGCCTGGGTGGCTCAGTCGTTAAGCGTCTGCCTTCGGCTCAGATCATGATCCCAGGGTCCTGGGATCGAGCCCCACATCGGGCTCCCTGCTCCGCGGGAAGCCTGCTTCTCCCTCTCCCACTCCCCCTGCTTGTGTTCCCTCTCTCGCTGTCAAATAAATAAAATCTTTTTTTAAAAAAAAGCCCATATTTTAAGGGTTGTAACTGGATGGTGGTTTTAATTTTGGTTTGAAACTTGGCCATTTGGAAAAATCACAAATTATTTGAAAGAAGTTTATTTTTATGGTAAGAAGTAGCTCTTGTCAAAGCTTTTTCCTGTGCTTTGCTTTCAAACGAAGGTTTACAGACCATTAGTCCATAATGTGAATTAACCCCATTTGGTATTTTTCCTTACCTTTAAAATGCTAAAGGACTGTTATTCACTTTGGTGAAGTGTTTACTGCATATTCACTGTAACTACCTAACATTTTAAAAATCTTATTTCTGTAGGACTTTGGCTTTATTATTGGAACTGCTCCAGAATGTTACACAGATGGCATAATAGACCCAAAGGCAGTTTTAGAGAAACATAGTGGCAATGTATGAAGTAAAAATCCATTTCCACAATGGCATCACATAATGGTCCCGTTTGACTGCCTCATCCCATGGGGCCTTGGCTGGAGTAGGGATAAGTGAACAGTTTGGGGGAGATATGAATCCATTCAAATCTTGTCCTAGTTATCTAAATTAAGTCTGCGGAGCAAAGAGAGTCTCTGGGTTTTCTCACCTGAACTTTTTAATTTTGTTTATTCAGCAAGGGTAAAAACAGTACATTACATATTTTCACTTATGTGTTGAGTGCCATCCCAGATGTCAAAGGAACTAAGATGGCCAAGGTTCCCTGCTCTGGAGGAGCTTACAGTCTATCGGAGACAGATTCAGCAGCAAAGTGTGATAAACCACCAATCTGGTCAGGTTGTTATGGAAGCAAAGAAAGGGAGCCACGAACCACCTTTGTTTTTAGTAGACTATTTTTTAGAGCAGTTTTAGATTCACAGCAAAACTGAATGGAAGGTACAGAGATTTCCTATGTACCCCCTCCCCTGCTCCCATACAGGCACAGCTTCCCTCATTGTCAACATCCCCCACCAGAGTGGCACATTTGTTACAATTGATGAAGCTACATTGACACAGCATTATCATCTACAGTCCACAGTTTACCTTAGGGTTCACTCTTGGTATTGGACATTTGTTGGACAAATCGATAATGACATGTATCCACCATTGTAGTATCATAGTGTACTTTCACTGCCCTAAATTCCTCTGTGCTCACCCTATTTATCCCTTCTTCCCCACTATCCCCTGGCAAGCACTGATCTTTTTACTGTCTTTGTAGTTTTCCCTTTTCCAGAATATTATATATTTGGAATCCTATAGTATGTAGCCTTTTCAGATAGGCTTCTTCCATTTAGTAAGATGCATTTTAAGTACTTTCTGTGTCTTTTCATGACTTGAGTTTCATGTAACTTTCATGACTTGTCTTTTTAGTGCTGAATAATATTCCATTATTTAGATGTACCACATTTTAAAATTTTTTTAAAAGATTTATTTATTTATTAGAGAGAACGCAAGTGCAGGAGCGGCAGAGGGGGAGAATCTTCAAGCACACTCCCTGCTGAGTACAGAGCCTGATTCGGGGCTTGATCCCATGACCCTAAGGCCATGACCCGAGCCAGAATTAAGAGTCGGATGCCCAACTAACTGAGCTACCCAGACGCCCCAGGATGTACCACATTTTAAGTATCAATTCACCTACTGAAGGATACCTTGGTTTCCAAGTTTCAGCATTTCTGAATAAAGCTGCTATAAACATTCATATGTAGGTTTTTATATGAACTTAAGTTTTCAACTCCTTTGGGTCAATAATAAATATCAAGGAGTGTGATTGATGGCTCATATGGTAAGAGTATGTTTACTTTTGTAAGAAATTGACAAACTGACTTCCAGAGTGGCTTACCATTTTGCATTCCCACTGACAATAAATGAGAGTTCCTGTTACTCCACATCCTCACCAACATTTAGTGTTGTCAGTGTCCCAGATTTTGGCTAACCTAATAGATCTCGTTGTGGGTTTTTTGTTGGGTTTTTTTTTTGACGTAGGGTGGAGGGAGAGAATCTTTTTTTTTTTTCCCCAAGATAGAGAGGTGGGGGAGGGGGAGAGGGAGAGAGAGAATCCCAAGCAGGCGCCATGCCCAGTGAGGAGGCTGACAGGGGGTCTCACAACCTGAGATCATGACCTGAGCCAAAATCAAGAGTTGGACACTTAACCAACTGAGCCACCCAGGAGCCCTGGTGTCTTGTTGTTTTAAGTTGCATTTCCCTGATGACATACGATGGGGAGCATCTTTTCATATGTTTATTTGCCATTTGTATATCTTCGGAGAGGTGTCTTTGGCTCATTGTTTTAATTGGATT